TGTACATGTATGTTTAGTGTGACCTAAGTGTAAGTAGAAGTAGCAAGACGTACCTGTAATCTTGCATATTTATGAGACAGACAAAAGACACCAGCAATCCTACCATCATGTAAAACAATTACAGGCGTTCATTTTACACTCACTTGGCAGGACGGTAGTACCTCCCTGGGTGGTTGCTGTCTACCAACCTACTACCATATCCCCCCTATTTCTACGCCTTTCTAGAGAGTGCAGATTCAGGGCCCCTCAGTCTATCCTCATAGGGAAGATTTCTGATACATGGGATCAACTTTGTCATCCTCCTTTGTACGTTTTCCAGTGCATTTATTATCCATTCTGTAATACCGTGACCAAAACTGTGCAGCATAATATAAATGAGGCCTAACCAAAGATATATAAGAGTTGAAGAACAACCCGAGGATTTCTATTATTTATACTTCTAGATATGAAGCCAAGTATTCTGTTAGCTTTATTGCAAACACTTATGCACGTTGTCTTGGTTCCATATTACTGCTAACCAGAACTCCTAAATCCTTTTCACAGTCTGTAATATTAAGATCTACATTATTCAGTTTATATGTGGCATGGTTTTTTTCCTGTCCAACATTCAGAACTTTGCATTTGTCTATATTAAACTGCATCTGCTGCCTCTCCAACCACTGCATCAGTCTATTCAAATCATCATGGAGTGCTCTAATGTCCTCATTGGAATGAATTGGACGGCCTGTTTTGGTGTCATCAGCAAATTTGCTTATGTGACTATTTGTTCCCTCATCTATGTTGTTTATGTAGATTGTGAACAACAAGGGGCCCAACACTGACCCCTGTGGAACACTGCTTGTGACATGCCCCCATTCTGATTTCTGCCCATTTATGCAAACTCTCTGTTGCCTATTTGTTAACCATGCCTCTACCCATTAAAAAATTTCTCCTATTCTGTGTGCCTTAAGTTTTTGCAACAGCCCCTGATGTGGATCTCTATCAAAAGCCTTACTGAAGTCCATATACACAATATCATATTCAGTACCATGATCTACCTTTTCAAATACCTTAGTGATGAAAGTTAGCAGATTTGTAAAACATGAATGCCCCTTTGTAAAACCATGCTGAGATTCATTAATCAGTTTATGCCTTTCAAGATGGCTGTGAGTTGCTTTGGCAATTATTGATTCCATAAATTTACCAACTATGGAGGTTAGGCTTATTGGTCTATAGTTTGAAGCTAAGGACCTGTCACCTGCCTTGTAAATGGGTATTAAATTTCCCATTTTCCACTTGTCTGGCACTGTGCCAGTTTCTAGTGATACATTGAAAAGATTAGCCAAAGGTATGCTAAGTTCCTCTTTACATTCTTTAAAACCCTTGCAAACAGTTCATCAGGGCCTGCAGATTTGTTAGGGCTTAATTTCTCTATTTGTCTAAGGACCACCATGTCACTAGTTACCCTAATCGTGCATAGTTTATCATCATCCTGTTCTACATAATTTATTATTTCTGGAATTTTGCTAGTATCTTCCTGAGTAAAAACTGAGAGGAAGGTAGGTATTGAAAAGTTCACACACATATCCTTATCACTGTCAGTGATCTGACCTGAGTTACTCTCAAGTGGGCCTATCTTATCCCTAATCTTTCTTCTGTATATCTGAAAGAACCCTTTTGGATTAGTCTTCGAATCCCTTGCGACTTTAGCCTCATAATCTCTCATTGCTTTTCTTATTCCTTTTTTTTTTTATTTCATTTCTCTTTCTAATTGAATATATTGATTTCTTAACTGCCCTTTCCCTCCTTTGATATGCCTATATATGCCTCTCTTTTGACCAATGAGATATTTTAATCTATTGTTTATCCATTTGGGATCATTTTTGTTAGATCTAATTTCCCTACTCGGGACAGAAGTCATCTGGGCAGCCAGCACTATGCTCTGAAATACATCATATTGGCAACCAACCCTACCTACCTGACACACAGTAAGGTCATCCCAATATAGCCCACCCAGGTAATTTCTCATACCCATGAAGTCTGCCAAGCAGAAATATGGAACAGCGACTTGATTGCAGTTATCTGGGTAATTCCATGATGCATTGAAACCAAGTGATTTGTGATCACTTTCCATTGAAACCAAGTGATTTGTGATCACTTTCCCCTAGCTCATCACTTACCTCAAGATTATTAACTAGTGATTCTTTGCTGGCAAGAACCAAGTCAAGCAGATTGTTTCCTCTAGTTGGTTCTGTCATAAACTTATGACTGAGCTTGGTTCCAACCAACCAGTCCTAAGTCAAAATGGATGAAAGTCAAACCTTAGAAAATTGCTGATCTACTGGGTAGGGCGTAATGTCAAACCTTTGCTATATAAAATAGTATCTACATAGTATCATATGTTACTTTTTACTAAATATTTTACTACTGTATATGCTGCCAGACGTATGTTACTTTTTACTAAATATTTTACTACTGTATATGCTGCCAGATGTAGGGTCGTAAGTACGAGTAGTCGTATGTCAGGCAGGTCGTAAGTCAGATGGGACTTGTACTTGTCTGTGGATACAGAAGTAGAACTAGGCTTGTGTCCCATCTTTATCAATTTTTTAATAATTTGTTAAAATTTTAGATGGCTATAACACTTGTTATTAACTTTTCACTATAAAGACCCCCCAAAATAAAACTTAGTCTCAATGTTCAAAAATTAACCCATTCAGGGTCGAGACCCCCCTGCTCTCAAACTTGCTCAATACTCCAAAAAAAAAAAAAATTTTTTTTTGTTTTAACTTATAAAATGATAGAGAATTTTCTTTTCTGAAGATAATGAAACAAAAAGTATGAAATTTGATGGAAAACTTAGGAAATTATGCTCTCACAAACTTAGTGGTCTTGGTGATATTTACGTACAGCGATTTTGCCCATTTTGTGTCCTATTTTTGGCCATTTCCATTGTTCCACATAGCTATTTTGTTAGCATTCCTTCTATTCTATTGATTGAGTACAAGAAACTGCCCATTTACCTATTTAAACTACCCAGTAAAGTAATCAGAAATAGGTAATTTGGCCAATTTCACACACAATTCAAGAAATGCCATTTTCAAAACAGGGTCTAGAATATAGTGCAGACATTCCTGTCACTAAAATAACATTTTCTCTGTTCATTAGTCACGTCTCAAGGCCCTTCTTATAATATGCTTGCTTTCCATTTTCAATTTTTATTTGCACAAAAACAAGATTTACTGTTATACAGCTGTATAGCCCTTGTGGTTTAGCACTTCTTTTTGATTATAATAATAATACTGTTATGTAGACTACTGCATTATTGTAATAATTGTATACATAATGTCAGTGCATTCCTAAATGCGTATTAGACTGGCCAGTTGGATGCGTATTTAACCCCTTGAGGGGTCCGTGCCGTAGATCTACGGGTTTACGTTGAGGGTCCAAACCGTAGATCTACGTCATGAGCTCAGCTCACTCTGATAAGCTGTGAGCGGTAAATTTTGGCCTTGATATGAGAGAATACACATATGTGGTATGTGTGCACCACATAAAACAAATTCTGCAGCACATAGTGCATAATGAGAGAAAAAAACTGAGACCGTAATTTTCGACTAAAACAGCGACTTTGCAGTGTTTTTTCGTATGTTTTTTATAGTTGTATTTCCAATTTCTTGGTCTCATTTGATAGAATGGAAGACATATTACAGAAGTAGAGGTGATTTTGATTGGTTTTAGTATGGAAATGGCTTGAAACTGAGCTCAAAGTAGTGGTAATGTTAAATTTTTGCCGATGTTCAAGAGTAAACAAATGACCTCACACGTGTAATACACTACAGCTGGTGGGTCTAATATATGTTCACAAATGTGCTGATATTATTTATACAATTATTACAATATTGCATAACAGTAAATCTTCTATTTTTTGGTTTGAATAAAAATTTGTTGTGAATAAAAAATCAAGATGGAATTCATTAGTAAAGCCTGAAAACGTAACTAATGAATAGAGGAAATGTTAGTTTAGTGCCAGGAATGCCTGCGTTGTTTATTCTGGATCCTATTTTGAAATTGGAGTATTTTTAACTTTGCATTAAATTGGCCAAATTACCAATTTCTGATCACTTTATTTTGTAGTTGAAACAGTTGACTTGGCGAATTCTTGTGTTCAATTGATAGAATAGAAGTAATTGTGAAATCGCTAAGAATTTGGTCGACTGGAATAATGTAATTGGCCTAATATGGGAGTCAAAGTCGGCAAAATTGCCGATGCGTAAATATCGCTGACACATCAAAATTCGCGAGAGCATAATTTCTCACATCTAGACCCAAATTTTCTGCTCACATCTTATCTAAGTGAGCTGAGCTATCATGGCATTGCTCTACAGGATTGATACTGGCTTCAGAGCCGTGATACAATACAACTGACCCTGAAAGGGTTAAAAAAAATAAATTCCTCTGAAATGGTAGAGAATTTTTTTTTCTGGAGGTAATGACACCCAAAAAGTAAGAAATTTGATGGAAAACTTGTCGAATTACACAGCCACAAAGTTTGTGGTCTCTACAATTTATGCAACGGCGATTTCACCCAATTTCGGTCCTATCTTAAACCATTTCCATTGTACTGGTCAACTGAATTCTTAGCCATTTTGGTAGTATGCCTTCTGTTGATTGAGCACAAAGAATCTGCCCATTCAGCTATTGTCCTATAAAGTGATTAGAAGTCAGTAATTTGACCAATTTCACATAAAATTTAAAAATAGAGTCCATAATAAGCAATGGAGACATTCCTGTCCAATCACACCACTGTGATGTGGGCTGCCACTGACATGCTTTTGCCTTGCCTCAGAGAGAATTTCTCCTATCTGTTGCTGTTCTATGTTGCATAGCTCCTGATGCACGAGAGTGCGAAAGATCCAGTGCTAAAGCTTTCCATCTGCATGTGGCTTGTTCTGCATTGTTAAGACTGTGACTGTAATGTATATTTTTGCTTCACATGGTACTTAATACATTTGTTTCAGGATAAGGGTTCATTCTATCTGGTGTTTGAATACATGGACCATGACCTGATGGGGCTACTGGAGTCGGGCATGGTGGAGTTCTCCGAGCAGCACAATGCTTCTATCATGAGACAGCTTCTCAATGGCCTTAATTACTGCCATAAAAAGAACTTCCTTCACAGAGATATTAAATGTAGTAATATTCTTATGAATAACAAGTAAGTAATTGCTTGTAAAGTTCTATGCTGTACTGAGTTTATGAATTTGTTGTTCAAGATTGGCAATAATTAGAGGTGGGCAATGATAATTTTTTTTTTTTTTTGGTTGCACATCAGAAGTTTATGCCAGACTCAGTTCACAGGCTAGTTACATGATCATTAATGTTAAGTTATACACATAAAATGATAGTCTGTTTGCTTTATAAATACATACAGCGGACCCTTGGTTTTCGTGTTTAATCTGTTCCAGAGCCATCGGCCAAAACCAAAACCATTTTCCCCATAGGAAATAATACAAATGGAATTAATCCGTTCCAGACACCCAGAAGTATCAAAAAAAAAATTTTTTTTCACCTTAAATATACATTTATATGCACAAAAGAATGAACATTAAACATGACACTCAACATTTTTGAAGGCTGTTGTTGCTGGAAGGAAGGGAGGGAGGGAGAAAGGGAAAGGGAAGATAGGTTATTGTTTGGAAGGGGAATCCCCCCTCCATTAGGTCTCTTGGTACGAAGTCCTTATCTGGGGTCACTTCCCTCCTTTGTTTTTTACTGCCACTAGGACCAGCTTGAGTGTCACTGAACTGCTGTTGCACAAAATATCTGTCTAGATATGTCTGTTTCTGCATCTCTCTAAGATTTGCATAAAATAGGACATGGCATTGTCATTGTAAAAGTCACCAGCATGGATTGCAACAGCTTTCTCAGGGTGATGTTGCTCCACAAATGAATGCACTTTAGTCCACACTGCACAAATCTCCTTAATCTTTGAAGAAGGCACCTTCCATCTCTCTTCCTCCTCCTCCTCCTCTGAAGCAATTTCCTCAGCTGTGGTCTGTTGCTGTTGCAGATGAAGCTCTTGCAGCTCATCAGTGGTTAGCATTTCATTGTGGTCCTCCACCAACTCTTCCACATCCTCCAAACTCGCATCCAACCCCATGGAATTCCCCAATGCCACGATTGCACAGCAGGTGTAGGGTCAACAGGGTCAGCCTCAAACCTTTCAAAATCCTTCTTTTGGACACAGTCTGGTCACAGTTTTCCCCAAGCAGAGTTCATCGTCCTGGAAGTCACTCTCTGCCAAACCTTATCTATAAGGCCTATGCTGTGGAAGATTTATTTTTATTTTATTATCACACTGGCCGATTCCCACCAAGGCAGGGTGGCCCGAAAAAGAAAAACTTTCACCATCAATCACTCCATCACTGTCAAAAACCATTTGTCTCCATTCACTCCTATCAAACACGCTCACGCATGCCTGCTGGAAGTCCAAGCCCCTCGCACACAAAACTTCCTTTACCCCCTCCCTCCAACCTTTAATCCCATTTATTTCCCCCCACCGAAACTCCCCTACCCCCTTCAGCTTTGTTTCGCTTAGGGCCAGGACATCCAACTTCTTTTCATCAGCAATCGTCTGTTTCTTGTCATCCGCACTACATCCACGCACATTTAAGCATCCCAGTTTTATAAAGTTTTTCTTCTTCTCTTTTTTAGTAAATGTCTACAGAAGGGGTTACTAGCCCATTGCTCCCGGCATTTTAGTCGCCTCATACGACACACATGGTTTACGGAGGAAAGATTCTTTTCCACTTCCCCTGTGGAAGATATTGAAGTGATTCTTCCAAAACTCTCTTAGGGTCAATTCAGAGTCCGAGGTTATGTCAAAGCACCTTTGAAACATTGCTTTGGTGTATAGTTTTTTGAAGTTTCCAGTGATCTGCTGGTCCTTGGGCTGGTGGAGAGGAGCGGTGTTAGGAGGCAAAAACTTCACTGGTACAAAACTGGAGTGGCAATTTCTTATCCAGGTCTTTTTTCACACTTTTTTCACACACTTCATTAATCCATTCCAGGAAAATTTTTCTTGTGACCCATGCCCTACTGTTTGCTTTCCACCATCACACACAATTTACTCTTAACAACACTGTTTTTCTTGAAAACACTGGGATTTTCAGAGTGATACACCAGTAAAGGGTTCACTTTGAAATCCCCACTAGCATTACCACACAACAAGAAAGTTAGCCTGTCTTTCATAGGCTTGTGTCCTGGGAGTGCCTTTTCCTCCTGCGTGATGTAGGTTCTCTTTGGCATTTTCTTCCAAAAGAGGCCTGTTTCATCGCAATTGAACACTCTGAGTTGGAATTTTTCAGACTCTACCTAACATTTGAATTCCCCAACGAATTTTTCTGGCGCTTGTTTGTCTGAACTGGCACCCTCACCGTGCCTTACAACACTGTGTATGCCACTTCGCTTCTTGAAATTTTCGAATCAACCTTTTCCGGCCTTGAATTCACTTTCATCACCACTTGTTTCAGGCAGTTTCTTTATGAGATCCTCAAGCAACTGCCTTGCTTTTTCACAAGTAATGGACTGCACCACACTGTCTCCTGCTTTGTCTGCGCAATGGGGACTGGACAGGTTCTGTATGATCAACGAAAACTAAGGTAATCGGCGAAAACTAAAGCCAAAAATCGACGAAAAAAGTCAGCCAAAACCAAAATCGGCAATAACTAAGATCAGTGAAAACCAAGGGTCCACTGTATTGTTTTAAATTTGTAAAGGGCACTCCTTTAATTTTATAAGAAATTTCTTGTATACGTATATTGCTGCTGAATGATCTAAACACTTATCTGTTTTTTATATATGTAATAATAATAATAATGATGTATTGATTGTTTCTTGTAATCAGATTAATTTATATTGTTTTTAATCCAGGAGTTACATGTGTGTGCAATATCACCCTTGTTTTAAATGTATTTGTTGATGGGATTGTAAAAATAGTGAATACTAGGGGGATTGGAATGGGGTGTGGAATTAAGAGATGTTGGTTCTGATACAAAGTGGGAGTTGTCATAGTTGCCTTTGCTGATGACAGTTCTTTTAAGAGATTATGGAGACAAGTTGTAAAGGTTGGTGGAGGAATTTGAGAGGGTATGTAACAGAAAGAGGTTAAAAGTGGACATAGATTAGAGTAAGATGAGGGGTTACAGAGAAGTCTAGGCACTGGTAGATTTAATGTCAGATTGACATTAGTGCATTTGGAGGAAGTGGATATTTTTTTTTTTTTTTTTTTTTTTTTTTTTTCAACAAGTCGGCTGTCTCCCACCGAGGCAGGGTGACGTGGATATATATGTAGATATTTAGGTATTTAGGAGTGGCAGATGTTGCAAGTGTATGGTGTAGGAGGTAGGTTACTGAAAGCAGTGAAGAGTTTTTACGAGGATAGTGAGGCTCAAGTTAGAGTATGTAGGAAAGAGGGAAATTTTTTCCCAGTAAAAGTAGGCCTTAGACAAGGATGTGTGATGTCACCGTGGTTGTTTAATATATTTATAGATGGGGTTGTAAGAGAAGTAAATGCGAGGGTCTTGGCAAGAGGCATGGAGTTAAAAGATAAAGAATCACACACAAAGTGGGAGTTGTCACAGCTGCTCTTTGCTGATGGCACTGTGCTCTTGGGAGATTCTGAAGAGAAGTTGCAGAGATTGGTGGATGAATTTGGTAGGGTGTGCAAAAGAAGAAAATTAAAGGTGAATACAGGAAAGAGTAAGGTTATGAGGATAACAAAAAGATTAGGTGATGAAAGATTGAATATCAGATTGGAGGAGAGAGTATGGAGGAGGTGAACGTATTCAGATATTTGGGAGTGGACGTGTCAGCGGATGGGTCTATGAAAGATGAGGTGAATCATAGAATTGATGAGGGAAAAAGAGTGAGTGGTGCACTTAGGAGTCTGTGGAGACAAAGAACTTTGTCCTTGGAGGCAAAGAGGGGAATGTATGAGAGTATAGTTTACCAACGCTCTTATATGGGTGTGAAGCGTGGGTGATGAATGTTGCAGCGAGGAGAAGGCTGGAGGCAGTGGAGATGTCATGTCTGAGGGCAATGTGTGGTGTGAATATAATGCAGAGAATTCGTAGTTTGGAAGTTAGGAGGAGGTGCGGGATTCCCAAAACTGTTGTCCAGGGGGCTGAGGAAGGGTTGTTGAGGTGGTTGGGGGCATGTAGAGAGAAGGGGCAAAACAGAAGACTTCAAGAGTGTATAGTCTGTATGGAAGGAAGGGGGGGTAGGGGTGGGCCCTAGGAAGGTTGGAGGGGGGGGGAAAAGGAGGTTTGGTGCGGGGGGCTTGGACTTCCAGCAGCTGGGGGCGTGTTTAAAAGGAGTGAATGGAAAAAATGGTTTTTTAATACTTGACGTCTGTTGGGTGTGAGCAAGGTAACTTTTTATAAGGGATCAGGAAACCGCGGGCCGGACTTGAGCCTGGAAAATGGGAAGTACGTCCCTGCACTCTAAAGGAGGGGTGTTAATGTTGCAGTTTAAAAACTGTAGTGTAAAGCACCCTTCTGGCAAGACAGTGATGGAGTGAATGATGGTGAAAGTTTTTCTTTTTCGGGCCACCCTGCCTTGGTGGGAATCGGCCAGTGTGATAATAAAAAAAAATATTTAGGAGTGGACATGTCTGCAGATGTGTTTGTGAAAGACAAGGTGAACCATGGAATAGATAAAGGTAAAAGGGTTGAAGTGCTTATGCATCCTTGCAAGGAGAAGTTTATGGAGGCAAATAAGGGAATATACCAGAGTATAGTATTACCAACATTTTTATGTTGTATAGGTGTGAGGCACGGTTTTAATGCTGCAGTGAGGTGGCAGCTAGAGGCAGTGATGTAATGTTTAAGAACAATGTGTGGTATCAGTATTATGCAGAGAATTAGGAGCATAGAAATTAAACAGCAGTGAGGGTCACCAAGAGTATAATTCAGGGCTGAGGAGGGGTTGAGGTGGTTTGGGCATCTAGAGATGATGGAGAGAGAGAGAGGTTGGCAGGTGTATAAATCTGGGGTGAAAGGTAGGAGGATTAAGGGTCATTTCAAGAATAGTTGGAGGGAGGGGATAAAGGCTTTGAGTTTTAGGAATTTAGCATCCTGCAGGCTTGTGTGTGAACATGTTAAGAGTGAATAGAAATAAGCAAAGGAACTTTTTATGAGGGGATTTGGGGAAACTGATTAGCCGGACTCGAGTCCTGGAGGCAGAAAGTACAGTGCCTGCACTTTGGAGGATAGATGGGGATGTTGCAGTCAGAGGATAATTTGAATTTGTGATGTCAGCACACTTGGGCAAGACAACAGTTTCCTGCCAGAGCAGGAAATTGCTGTTGAGGTAAAAAAAAAATTATTTCAACAAACTGGCCATATCCCACTGAGGCAGGGTGACCTAAAAAGAAAGAAACAAAAGTTTTTCTTTTTAAATTTAATAATTTATACAGGAGAAGGGGTTACCAGCACCTTGCTTCCGGTATTTTAGTCACCTCATACGACAGGCATGGTTTATGGAGGAAGAATTCTTTTCCACTTCCCCATGGAGACCATTTAAAAAATTTACTTATGTTTTTGCTGTACTGTATATATTTCTAAGTGGTTAAAATTATACTTTTTTCCACTTGAGCATACAGGACTTTATTGTAAATGTATCAAAGATGCTTTGTACCAATCATCTTTAATTGCACTGTGCACAAATTCTGGTGCTTTTACTGCTTCATTTATTAACTTAACCACCTTAAATTTTCAGAGGCCAAATCAAGCTGGGTGATTTTGGTTTAGCTAGATTATTTAGTTCAAATAAAGAGCGCCCATACACAAACAAGGTCATCACGTTGTGGTATCGTCCTCCTGAGCTGTTACTAGGAGAAGAGCGATATGGGCCTGCCATTGATGTGTGGTCATGTGGATGTATTCTTGGAGAACTATTTCAGAAGCGGCCACTTTTTCAGGTTTGTTGCACTTTTCACTTAAATTTGTGAGAAATTGAACCATTAAGCAGTGTGCCAAATAAATATTTAAAATTATTAATGGTATATGCATAATGGAAAGCGAGTACAGGATTATATGGAGCAGTTTAGTGTCTTGTGTCAAAATCATTTCTCCTGTTGTTTCTTTAGGGTATTATTAACCATGTGAAGTTAAATATACTGATATCATTGAAAAGTCCCAAGAAGTATTAGATCTGTTGGCCTAACTAATGCTAATCTGAACAACATTTCCTTATTTTATTTTTTTCAGTATGTTTTATATTCATAACCCTTGCAAATTTGAGTAAAACTAACACACAGCTTATATAACACAGTGCCCAATGAGATGTTGTCTTTGAGAGCAATGTGTAGTATGAACATTATGCAGTAGGTTCACTGTAGTAATTAAAAAGACAGTGTGGTCATCAAGGGTATAATTCTGAGGGCTGAGGTGGTTTGGGAATAAAGGTGTGAAGGATAGGGTAGGATGACAACAAGAGTGTATAAATTTGGGGGTGGAATGCAGGGGGTTGTCCCAAGAAAGGTTGAAAGGGATGTGTGGGAGGGAAATAATGAAGATGCTTTTGAGTTTTAGGGGCTTGTGTATTCAGCAACTTGTGTGAGTAAATGGAGACAGGTGGCTTTTAATGGATGTGCTTTTAGAGTGTGAGCAAGTTATCATTAAGGGAATTCACAAATTTTTATGTAAATCTTTTCGTAATCTAGGCCAGTACTGAAGCCATGCAGTTAGATGTAATATCTCGAGTATGTGGGACACCGACACCTGCTGACTGGCCAGACATTGTAAAATTACCTGGCTGGGGAACAATGAAGCCCAAGAAGACATACCGTAGGAGAATAATGGAAGACTTCAAAGACAAAATGCCCCAGCCTGCCTTAGACCTTCTTGATCAGATGCTGAAGCTAGATCCATCCAAACGTATTAGTGCAGAGAATGCACTTAATAGCACTTGGCTGAAGAATGTTGATCCTGACCTGTAAGTATGGCACTTTTCAACAATCTGTAGGTCAGTCAGGACATTTGTTTGTATTTATGAGACATTACTCTTCTCATCTACTTGGTTTAGAATAATCTGACCTGCAGGTTTTAGGATTTGTTTGCCATGAATTTGACCCCACCCACTCTGATTAGTCAGAAGAATCTTTCTTAGCATTAATTAACCCTTTAAGTTAAGGTGGTGTATTTATACGTCTTACTGGACACAGGACATGTACTACCTGTGTGAGCAAAAACCATAGGACTTTCAAATTTCTTGTGGTCCAGCACATTTTAAGCCTTGAAGCAACTTCTGAGGACAGGTATGGTTTTGTCATTCTTATAAAATAAATTATTGTCTCTGTAATACATTATAGGAGGCAGTAGCGGAGTATAGTAGAGCCCCTGTATCTACGGATTGGGTTTCCGGGGTTTCAGTTATCCACTGTTTACCTCGGTGGTTGCAATTTGACGTCTCAGTTTTTTTCTTTATTGTCTAATTTCATTCATTTTTTCTGTTAGAATAAGAGTGCATAAATCATAGTTACATAGTTTCAGTAAGATCAGTCAACAAACAAATGAACAAAAAAATAGTGAAACCTCAGTACTCGAATAGTTCAATATTCGAACGCTTTGTTAGGTAAACAAATCGCTTGGTAGTTGACGTTTTGCTCGGCACTCAACCAAACAAACACAGTCTGCCAGAACTTCGCTGTAAGATATTTCGTGTAGATGGCGAGAATATTTTGAGGAACTTTTAAATGTTAAGGAAGAAAGGGAGGCGGTAATTTCATGCAGTGGTCAGGGAGGTATACCATCTTTTAGGAGTGAAGAAGAGCAGAATGTAAGTGTAGGGGAGGTACGTGAGGCATTACGTAGAATGAAAGGAGGTAAAGCAGCTGGAACTGATGGGATCATGACAGAAATGTTAAAAGCAGGGGGGGATATAGTGTTGGAGTGGTTGGTGCTTTTATTTAATAAATGTATGAAAGAGGGGAAGATACCTAGGGATTGGCAGAGAGCATGTATAGTCCCTTTATATAAAGGGAAAGGGGACAAAAGAGATTGTAAAAATTATAGAGGAATAAGTTTACTGAGTATACCAGGAAAAGTGTACGGTAGGGTTATAATTGAAAGAATTAGAGGTAAGACAGAATGTAGGATTGCGGATGAGCAGGGAGGCTTCAGAGTGGGTAGGGGATGTGTAGATCAAGTGTTTACTTGAAGCATATATGTGAACAGTATTTAGATAAACGTAGGGAAGTTTTTATTGCATTTATGGATTTAGAAAAGACATATAATAGAGTGGATAGAGGAGCAATGTGGCAGATGTTGCAAGTATATGGAATAGGTGGTAAGTTACTAAATGCTGTAAAGAGTTTTTATGAGGATAGTGAGGCTCAGGTTAGGGTGTGTAGAAGAGAGGGAGACTACTTCCCGGTAAAAGTAGGTCTTAGACAGGGATGTGTAATGTCACCATGGTTGTTTAATATATTTATAGATGGGGTTGTAAAAGAAGTAAATGCTAGGGTGTTTGGGAGAGGGGTGGGATTAAGTTATGGGGAATCAAATTCAAAATGGGAATTGACAGTTACTTTTTGCTGATGATACTGTGCTTATGGGAGATTCTAAAGAAAAATTGCAAAGGTTATTGGATGAGTTTGGGAATGTGTGTAAACGTAGAAAGTTGAAAGTGAACATAGAAAAGAGTAAGGTGATGAGGGTATCAAATGATTTAGATAAAGAAAAATTGGATATCAAATTGGGGAGGAGGAGTATGGAAGAAGTGAATGTTTTCAAATACTTGGGAGTTGATGTGTCGGCGGATGGATTTATGAAGGATGAGGTTAATCATAGAATTGATGAGGGGAAAAAAGGTGAGTGGTGCGTTGAGGTATATGTGGAGTCAAAAAACGTTATCTATGGAAGCAAAGAAGGGAATGTATGAAAGTATAGTGGTACCAACACTCTTATATGGGTGTGAAGCTTTGGTGGTAAATGCAGCAGCGAGGAGACGGTTGGAGGCAGTGGAGATGTCCTGTCTAAGGGCAATGTGTGGTGTAAATATTATGCAGAAAATTCGGAGTGTGGAAATTAGGAAAAGGTGTGGAGTTAATAAAAGTATTAGTCAGAGGGCAGAAGAGGGGTTGAGGTGGTTTGGTCATTTAGAGAGAATGGATCAAAGTAGAATGACATGGAAAGCATATAGGGGAAGGAAGGAGGGGTAGGGTTCGTCCTCGAAAGGGTTGGAGATAGGGGGTAAAGGAGGTTTTGTGGGCGAGGGGCTTGGACTTCCAGCAAGTGTGTGTGAGCGTGTTAGATAGGAGTGAATGGAGACGAATGGTACTTGGGACCTGATGATCTGTTGGAGTGTGAGCAGGGTAATATTTAGTGAAGGGATTCAGGGAAACCGGTTATTTTCATATAGTCGGACTTGAGTCCTGGAAATGGGAAGTACAATGCCTGCACTTTAAAGGAGGGGTTTGGGATATTGGCAGTTTGGAGGGATATGTTGTGTATCTTTATATGTATATGCTTCTAAACTGTTGTATTCTGAGCACCTCTGCAAAAACAGTGATAATGTGTGAGTGTGGTGAAAGTGTTGAATGATGAAAGTATTTTCTTTTTGGGGATTTTCTTTCTTTTTTTGGGTCACCCTGCCTCGGTGGGAGACGGCCGACTTGTTGAAAAAAAAAAAAGTCACATGGGGCCTAAGAGGGTTAGTGATAACAGCGAATCAAAAAGAAAATTGGTTGGTAAAAATTAATTTTGTACTCAAATAGGCATTCTAACAGTCTTCTGGAAACCAATTAAGTTTGAGTTCTGAGGTTCCACTGTATACTGAAAATTTGATTTGGAAGCAAATGGGCACACACTGGTATTGCAAGAGTTATCTTCAGTAGCAGCAACAACTGCAAGTGTTGCCATTGTAGCAGCAGCTGCAGCAAGAGCAGCTGTAGCAGTTGCTGTTTTCCTGTAGATTGTAGCACACTTTTGGCAGTGGGAAATGTGGATCGATTTTTTCAAACACATGCTTTCGTATTCTAGTAGAATATTTTGCTACTGTCACAAGAATCTACACATTTGCTTATGCAGTAGTCATGGTAATCTTTATTTCATATTCATTTTCACTTATCATCCTTACTGTAGTCACCATCATACAATGAAGTAAACATCTTTTTAATTTGTAGGAATAGGCTTACTAATGTCTTTAATTGAGGAGCCAACTATATACCCTGCATTATGTAGTTCTCATTTTCTTCACTGTTCGTGGATGGTTCCTCATTTCTTAAAATCACTGCAATTTGCATCACTTATACCAATGTTACTACCTGAGAATCCTCTTAATTTGAATCTCACTGAGGTTATTGTCTCCCCTCCATAGTAATTGACTTAGTACTAGACTAATGCCACCCATGATTTACTGTGGTACCCGGGAATTATTTTTCTAGGGGAGAATCAAGATGCCCCTGACCCCAAAAGTTATTTGAAGACCTAGAACTAGTAGTAGTAACAGGTAATGGGATAAATTACAGTTTGAGGGGATGGAGCAGCTGGGTAACTCCAACACTATGCTATTCACTTTCTGACCTATCTTCTAACTTTCTTTCCGTTACCAGAGTGTCTTCTGGTTTTCTTTCATTTTTCTTACTCAGTTGTGACTTGATAATGGACCAAAATGTTGTCTAATGTTTCCTTCCTGAAGTGTGTGTTACGTGAATTGTTCCAGCTATGGTATTGTGATTTACGTATATTCTTCATGAAAAGTCAGTACAGGTGCACATCCCTTTATCTGAAACCCTTGGGGCCTGTATTATTTCGAATTTCAGACTTTTTCAAATTTCAGAATGATTCTCAATGCTGCCATGTGGCGGCGTGACCCAGCATGGAGATGACTGACGCTCCACACTCCAAGAAAAAACTTCGAGTTTCGGAACTTTTTGAATTTCAGAATTTCGGGTAAAGGGATGTGGACCTGTATTAGGAAATTAAACGTACTGCAGATTTGTAAGGACAAGTGTATTAAAATTCTAGTATAAATAATGGATATCATTTAGGTCTGATATGGAGGGCAGATAACTGTATACTGTATTGTGATGGATATCTATTTATTTTCCTATTATTACAGAATGGAACCACCACCATTACCTAAGTATCAAGATTGTCATGAATTATGGAGTAAGAGGAGGAGACGCCAACTCAAGGAACAGCAAGAAGCAGCCATTGGTGTTATAGGCCCTCAGGGTCCCTCAGGAAAACCAGTGGGACCTATAGGTGTTCCACAAGTTTTTGCAGGTCCCCACAAGGATCAGCGTCCAATGTATAGAGGTGGGCCTGATGAAGGAAGTCTTGATGGACGACGCCATGAGAGTAACAGTGCAGAGGGCTACATGAGTAACAGCCTGCCAGCTTCTCGCAGTAATTCACCAAGACCCTCTTCATTACATTATCGTGGGCCAGGCTCCCATACACCACCAGGAGCAGCAGGTGGAGACAGCCTCACTCCGCCCCAGGTCACTCATCGGTACAATACTCCACCTGTAGCTCAGGATGAATCGCATACGATTTACCGCCCACTTTACCATCTAGCACATCTGATAAACACTCGACAGACAGTAGTGTTCGGTCAGCTATCTGCGTTAATGAATGAACAGGCAAGTGACCTTTTTCTACAGTTAACCTTCTATTTAACGGACTAATTAGGGGGTGGGGAGCAAGCGGCCAGTAATGGCACTTGTGGTGGATAGAAAAAAGATGTTTTGTCATGATTGTAATAATAAACCATTCTGCAACTAAAGGACTTTGCCATGGTTTCCAAATCTATTTCCAAAGTCCATTAAATGGAGGGTTTACTGTATATCCAGCATACTTTCTGATGCTTGAAACAATACAGTACAGCCTCTCCTCACTTAGCAAAGTACTCGTTTACCAATGCCTCGGACATACATTGGGCTCTCTGACCAGTATTCATACCGAAATAATGTATATTACAGCTGATTTTCTCTGTTCTCTTTATTTCAATATACAGTGAAACCCTGGATTTCGTCTGGTGCAGATATTGTACAATTCGGATTTTGACCACATTTTTGGGCGAAACCTTACCCTGGGTTTCGTACCTCCGCTCTGAAATCGTCTGTACCAGACTCGTCCGCCTGGGCCAGTCATACTTTTGTGATACTAATACGTAATAATAATCACTCTTGGGCACATAAAATGTCTTATTTTAGGTTAATATAAACATTTTCATTAATCCATCTATGATATTTTCTTCAAAATTATATAAGAAACATGTTACATAGCATATAAACGTGTAATGTTTATATGCTATGGAGGTGTGGTAGCCAGGCAGAGGGCAAACATTACATTTTCTCTGGTTCAGCATAAGATAAAACGTATGAATCTGCGTTGGTCCAGACACCACCCTTAATAAATAACACTTTTTTTTTACAATTCTCAGCATGAATTATTCATTACTTCTCCCTTTGTTCATGATGGCATCTAAAGGTATTTGTTAGGAATGATTAAACTCGGTGAACATGGTACAGTGGACCCCCAAGTTTCATAAGCCTCACACTTCGTGAATTTTGACTTTCAACAACTTTTTTCGTCAAAACAAAGCCTTGTGGTTCACGATTTGCTTCGTGATTCATCCGTCGTACGGAATGTGTCTGTGCTGCTGGGAGTGGCTGGGTGTACACAACAGCTCCCACACAGCATTCAGGAGTAAGTGTGGCATTGTTTGTGGACGAGTGACCTTCACCACAATCGTTCATACAATATATTTTGTAATAATCAATTCTTTATTGTGCTTACAACTGCTAAATAAGCCACCATGGGCCCAAAGATAGCTTCTAGTACTAGCCCTTTGGTAAAGAAGGTGAGAAACATGATAGAATTAAAGAAAGAAATTATAGCAAAATATGAAAGTGGAGTGAGTGTTGTCGAACTCAACAGGATGTACGGGAAGCTCCATTTAACGATTACTTCTATCGTGTTGAAGAAAATTAATTCAAGGAAGCTGTTATTGCGAAAAGGGTAGATCTGCTCACCAAAAGGAGATTGCAAATACTCAAAGATGTTGAGAGATTGTTGTTAGTGTGGATCAACCGAAAATAATTAGCAGGAGATAGTGTTAAGCAGTCGATAATTTGTGAAAAGGCAAGGCAGTTGCATGCTGATCTCGTAAAGAAAATGCCTGGAATGAGTGCTGATGTTAGCGAATTTAGGGCCAGCAAAGGCTGGTTTGAGAGATTTAAGAAATGTAGTGGCATACACACTGTGGTAAGACATGGCGAGGCTGCCAGTTCTGACAAATATGCGGCTGAAAAATTCGTCTGTGTAGAGGCTGAAGGATTCGTCCCCCAACAAGTGTTCAGTTGTGATGAAACAGGCCTGTTTTGGAAGAAAATGGCAAGGAGGACCTACACACAGGAAGAAACGACACTGCCAGGACACAAGCCTATGAAAGACAGGCTAACTCTCATGTTCTGTGGTAATGCTAGTGGGGATTTCAAAGTGAAGCCTTTACTGGTGTATCACACTGAAAATCCTAAAGTGTTCAAGAAAAACAGTGTTGCCAAGAGTAAATTGTGTGTGATGTTGAAGACTAACAGTAAGGCATGGGTCACAACGGAAATTTTCCTTGATTGGGTCAATAACGTGTTTCACCTGAGTGTGAAGAAATACCTCCTGGAAAAAAAATTGCCACTCAAGTGCCTCTTGGTAATGGACAATGCTCCTGCTCATCCTCCAGACTTGGATGACCAAAAGGTGGAGGAGTTTAATTTCATCAGAGTGAAGTTCTTGCCCCCCTAATACCACTCCTCTCATCCAGCCCATGGACCAGCAGATCATTTCAAACTTCAAAAAACTGTACACCAAAGCAGTGTTTCAAAGGTGCTTTGGTGTGACCTCAGACACTCAGTTGACCCTAAGAGACTTCTGGAAGGATCACTTAAGTATCCTCAATTGCATAAGCCTTATAGATAAGGCTTGGGAGGGAGTGACTTCCAGGACTTTGAACTCAGCTTGGAGAAAATTGTGGCCAGAATGTTTCCAAAAGAAGGATTTTGAAGGGTTTGAGGCTGACCCTGTCGACCCTACACCTGTTGTGCAATCAGTTGTGGCATTGGGGAATTCCATGGGGTTGGATGTGAGTGGCCAGGATATGGAAGAGTTGGTAGAGGACCACAATGAAGAGCTAACCACTGAAGAGCTGCAAGACCTTCATCTGCAACAGCAACAGACCACAGCTGAGGAAATTGCTTCAGAGAGGAGGAATACAGATGGAAGAAGGTGCCTTCTTCAAAGCTTAAGGATATTTGTGCAAAGTGGAATGAGGTGCAAACATTTATGGAGGAACATCACCCTGACAAAGCTGTTGCAAGCCACATTGGCAACATGTAAATGACAATGCCTTGTCCCATTTGAGGCAAATTTTAAGAGATGCTAGAAACAGCTGTCTGGAACAGTTATTTGAGAGACAGGGATCCAGTGACAAGCTGGTCCTAGTGACATTAAAAAACAAAGAAGGGAAATAACCCTGGATAAGGACTTGGTACCTACAGTCTTTATGGAAGGGGATTCCCCTTCCAAACAATAGTGTAACTTCCCCATCCTCTCTCCTCCTCCTGTCTTCCATACACCAACAAGAGTCTTCAATAAAGGTAAGTGTGATATTCTTGTTTTATACTTGATTTCTCATTCTTTTCTGTATGTAAATCTATATTTAATCTAAAAATATAATTTATATTAATACCTTTGGGTGCCTGGAATGGATCAATTGGATTTACATTATTTCTTATGGGGAAAATGGTTTCGACACTCCTGAATTTCGACTTTTGGCAAGACTCTCTGGAATGGATTAACCCGTAAGTGGTCCAAGCAGATCTACGTTCACATGCGTAGTGCTCCAAAAGTAGATCTACTTTTTTTTTTTACATATTTTCAAATATAACAAAAAAAAAAGTAGATCAGAGTTTTTGTACACGTTTTCAAATGTACAAAAAAAAAAGATCTACTCTTTTTACATGCTTTCAAATATTGAAAAAACGTATCCTGGAGAGAGTTCCGGGGGTCAACGCCCCCGCGGCCAGGTCTGTGACCAGGCCTCCTGGTGGATCAGAGCCTGATCAACCAGGCTGTTACTGCTGGCTGCACGCAAACCAACGTACGAGCCACAGCCCGGCTGGTCAGGAACCGACTTTGGACCGTTTGGACTGTTTACGGGTTAATCATGGAACTCGGGGGGGGGGGGGTCCACTGTATGTCGATGGTAATAATGTAGCTCTGGGCTGCATTAAATACTGTGTAGCTAGGATGTGGAGAAATATCCCCCTAACAAAGCTGTTGCAATCCATGTCTGCATGGTCCACTGATTCTCAAGCTGGTCCTAGTGCCAGTAAAAGACAAAGAAGGGAAGTAACCTCGGATAGGGCTTTGATACCTGAAATCCTTATGGAGGGGGATTACCCTTCCAAACAATAATCTCTCCCCCTCCCCCTTTCCAAGCAATAACCTCTCCTCCCTCTCCCCTCCTCGCCATCTTTCATACACCAGTAAGTCTCTTCAATAAAGGTAAAAGTGATTTAAATGTTCATTTATCCATTAAAATTAGTCATTTATACAGTGGACCCCCGACCAACGGCAGCATCGACTAACGGCAAATTCGTCTAACTGCGCTCTTTGGCATAAAAAAAAGGCTCTACCAACGGCGAAAAACTCATCTAATGGCTTTTGTCCTGAACGTGTCCATGCGGCCTGAGCGGGCGTAGCCACTCCAAGACTCAGTGTGGCATTGTTTACAAGCATTTGCTGTCGATATCACGTGTACCTTCGATATATTTTGTGTTATTCCAGTGTTTTTAGTGCTTGTAACTGCTCAGTAAGCCACCATGAGCCCCAAGAAGGCTTCTAGTGCCAAGCCTGTGGTAAAAAGGGTGTGAATTACTATGGAAATGAAAAAAAGGATCATTGAAAAATATGAAAGTGGAGTGCGTATGTCCGAATTGGAAAGGCTATATAACAAACCCCATTCAACCATCACTACTATCTTGGGAAACAGAAAGGCGATCAAGGAAGCTGTTGTTGCGAAAGGTGCAAGTATGTTTTCAGAACAGAGATCGCAAATAATTGAAGAGGTGGAGAGACTGTTGTTGGTATGGATAAATGAAAAATAATTATTAGGAGATAGTGTCTCTCAGTTAATAATATGTGAAAAGGCAAGACAGTTGCATGATGATCTCATTAAGAAAATACCTCAAAATAGTGATGATATTGATGAATTTAAGGCCAGTAAAGGCTGGTTTGAGAGATTTAAGAATCGTAGTGGCATACACAGTGTGGTAAGGCATGGTGAGGCTGCCAGTTCAGACAAAAAAGTGACTGAAAAATGTGTGTGAGACTTTAAGGAGTACATAGAGACTGAAAACTTAAAACCTGAACAAGTGTTTAATTGTGACAAAACAAGCCTGTTTCGGAAGAAAATGCCAAACAGGACCTGCATTACTCAGGAGGAAAAGGCACTCCCAGGACATAAGCCTATGAAAGACAAGCTGACATTAATGTTGTGTAGTAATGCTTGTGGTGATTACAAAGTGAAGCCTTTGTTGGTGTATCACTCTGAAACTCCCAGAGTGTTCAGGAACAACAATATTGTCAAGGGTAATTTGTATGTGCTGTGGAGATCAAACAGTAAGGCATGGGTCACTAGGGAAATGTTCATGTACTGGTTTTATGGTGTGTTTGGCCCCACTGTGAAAAATTACCTCCTGGAAAAGAAATTATCACTTAAGTGCCTCCTGGTAATGGACAGTGCTCCTGCTCATCCTCACGACTTGCAAGAGCAAATTGCAGGGGAGTTTGGTTTCGTTAAAGTGAAGTTTTTGCCTACTAATACAACTCCTCTCCTCCAGCCCATGGACCAGCAGGTCATTTCAAACTTCAAAAACTCTACACAAAAACAGTGTTTCAGAAGTGCTTTGAAGTGACCTCAGACACTCGACCCTAAGAGAGTTTTGGAAAGATCACTTCAGTATCCTCAGTTACATAAACCTTATAGGTAAGGCTTGGGAGGGAGTGACTTGCAGGACTTTGAACTCTGCTTGGAGGAAACTGTGGCCACAGTGTGTACAAGAGAGGGATTTTGAAGGGTTTAGGGCTAACCCTCAGGAGCCTATGCCAGTTGTGGAAGCTATTGTGACATTGGGGAAGTCCATGGGGTTGGAGGTTTGTGGTGAGGATGTGGAAGAGTTGGTGCAGAACGACAACGAAGAACTAACCACTGCAGACCTGCAAGAGCTTGATGTGCAACAGCAACAGGTCACCACAGCTCAGGTATGTGCTTCAGAGCAGGAGGGGGAGAGACAGAGGAAGTTGCCTTTGTCAAGGAGTAAGAAAATGTGTACAATGTTTACAAAGGTGCAAGAATTATGGATGAATTTTATCCTGTCACAGCTGTTGCAAGCCGTATTGGCAACATGTACAATGACACTCTTGTGTCCCATTTTAGGGAAATCCTAAGGGCAAGTGAGAAACAGAGCTCCCTGGACAAATATTTTGTGCTACAGGGGTCCAGTGACTCAAACTGGTCCTAGTGGCATTAAAAAACCAAGAAGGGAAGTAACCCCACCAAAGGACTTGGTACCTGAAGTCTTTATGGAAGGGGATTCCCCTTCCAAACAATAGAGAACCTGAGTATCCCCTGCTGCTGGCACATCACTCAACAACTCCACAATAAAGGTAAGTGGCATTTAATTATTGTTTATTTTGCATGTAGCATTCGTTTCTGTGTAGGGAAATGTATATTTCATGTAAAAAAAAAATTATTTTGTTCACTACTTTTGGGCGTCTGGAACGGATTAATTCTATTTCCATTATTTCTTATGGGGAAAATTAATTTGACTAACGGCTAATTCGACTAAAGGCTAGCTCTCTGGAACGGATTAAAGCCATTGGCTGAGGGTCCACTGTATTTATTTCTCATTGTTTTCTGTATGTAAAACTATAGTTATTCTCTTTAAAATCTATTTTTTGTTAATATTTTTGAGTGTCTGGAATGGATTAATTGGATTTACATTATTTATGGGAAATATTACTTCGGTTTTCGTCCATTTCAGATTTCGACCGACCTTCTGGAATGGATTAAGGACGAAAACCGGCGTTCCACTGTACAGTACACTACTGTATAAACATTTAACGATATACCAGAAATGTTATAAATGGTGCAGAGGTGACATTATAAGAATATCAAAGATAGTTGACACAAACTACCATTATAGTATGCTCCTCACTTAGCAATGAATTCATTCAACGACATGGTCTTAGGAATAGAACTCCATCGTTAAGTGAGGAGAGGCTGTATTTATAGATGACATAATATTGTCTTAATTTTTTACCAGGCACAAATTAATTTTAGATTATTGTGGTTATACAGATGGACTTGGGTATACGGCGGCTACTGGAGCGATTAAATGCTGCTGTTCTTTTGGCTGCTACAGCACGAGAGCGACGAATGCGTGGCGATTCAGGAGTTGTTGATGTTAGTGAATTAACAGTAGAGCCTAATGAGCCCATTATTACACCATCAGGTACGTATTTTACAGTGTAACTATTAGTAATACAGTATTAGAGTTGAACCAATTGTGCTTTATGTAGTACTTAGGTATGTGTATTTGTGCTTTATGTAGTACTTAGGTATGTGTATTTTAGCCTTGTTTATATGATTAAATATGATCTTCCTTTAGAGTTTAGAGGATTGGGGGGGTAATAGTTTCTTGATAGTTTTGGTTGCTTCCCCTAACTTAAAAAGGAAAATTTGTAGCTTACCTTTTTCTATTATTATTGTGAATACCCTGTAGTCTGTAAAGGAGAGAGGCTTATTTGTCCTCCACTCTGTTACAGAATTCTAAAAAAAAATGGCTACTTTTAATATATGTTCAGGCTTTGTGCTTGGCATGTATAGTAAATTACTGTACCTGAATTTGGCACGGTGAGCTGTCAACTCGATTCCACTTCTTAGCTTTCATTTGGCTTGTGTGAATGTGCCCTATTACACTAATTTTTAAACTCCTGTCTGGTGTTTGCTTCTACTCCATTCACCAAAGATGTTTTTATTTTTTTATTATCACTGGCCGATTCCCACCAAGGCAGGGTGGCCCAAAAAGGAAAAACTTTCACCATCATTCACTCCATCACTGTCTTGCCAGAAGGGTGCTTTACACTACAGTTTTTAAACTGCAACATTTACACCCCTCCTTCAGAGTGCAGGCACTGTACTTTGAAGGAGGGGTGTAAGTGTTGCAGTTTAAAAACTGTAGTGTAAAGCACCCTTCTGGCAAGACAGTGATGGAGTGATGTATCCATTGTTAACTCTCTCACTGTTGAGACCTCTGCTCACAAACTTGCTCTCCATGTCAAACAATTTTCAAAAAAAAAAAAAAAAATCTTATGAAATGATAGAGAATCTTTTCCTGATGGTAATGACACCGAAAGTACGAAATTTGATGGAAAACTTGCAGAATTACGCTCTTGCGAAGTTAGCAGTCTCGGTGATATTTATGCATTGGCAATTTCACCCACTCTGAGCCCTATTTTTGGTTAATTCCATTGTTCCAGTTAACCAAACTTGTAGCTATTTCGCTAGAACTATTTGTTCTATCAATTGAGTACAAGAAACTGCCCATTTACTGATTTTAACTACCCAATAAAGTGATCATAAATTGGTAATTTGGCTAGTTTCATATGCAATTCAAGTAAGGCCAGTTTCAAAATAGGGTCCAGAATTAACAATACAAACATTCCTAGCACTAAAATAGCATTTTCTCTGTTCATTAATCACGTCCAGGCCCCTCTTACATTACGCTTGCTCTTCATTTTGAATTTTTATTCACACAAGAAATAAATTATTCACTGTTATTCAGACTACTGCATAATTGTAATAATAATAAATAATATCAGCACATTCATGAATGCATATTAGACCAACCAGTTGATGTGTATTGGATGCATGACATGATTTGTTTAATCTTGAACATTGTCAGAAATCTAACATTTCTGCTACTTTGAGCTCAATTTCAAGCTTTTAGTCGGTAAACCATTCAAAATCACACTATTTCTGTAATGTGTCTTCCATTCTGTCAAATGAGACCAAGAAAACAAGAATACAAACACAAATACCATACAAAAATACACCACAAAGTCACTGTTTTAAACCAAAAACACGTTGCAGTTTTTTTCTCATGCACTAATTGCTGCAGGATTTTTTTTTATAATGTGCACACTAACCATGCAGACCCATTCTTATATGTAGGCCTACCAGCTTTCTCCCGCAATATTTGAAGCCGCTAAAATTTTGGCATAGTATTATGGGACCGACACTGGCTTCAAAGCCATAATATTGCTGGACTGACACTGGCTTCAAAGCCATAATATTGCTGGACTGACACTGGCTTCAAAGTCGTAATATTACGGGACCAACACTGAAGGGGGTTAACCTTTTCAGTGCCGGGACCTCTGCTCGCAAACTTGCTCCCAGGGTCAAAGAATATTAAAAAATAATTATTTTATCTTATGAAATAATAACGAATTTTTTTCTGAAGGTAATGAAACCAAAATTATGAAATTTGATGGGAAAAGTTATGGAATTATGTTCTCGCAAAGTTAGTGGTGTCTACGATATTCATGCAACGGCAATTTCACCTAACAACTCCCCAATAAAGTGATGATCAGAAGTCGGTATTTTGGCCAATTTCGCACATTCAGCAATTGCCAATTTGAAAATAGGGTCCAGAATTAATAATGTAGACATTCCTGGCCCATCTATTTTGAATTTTTATTCACAAAAAAAAAAAAAAAGAAAATTTACTTTTATGCAGACTACTGCATTATTGTAATAATTGTATAAATAATGTCAGTGCATTCCTAAATGCATATTAGACTGGCCAGTTGGACACGTATTGGACAAGTGATGTCGTTGAGTACTCTGGAATATCGGCAAAAATTTAACATTTCCTCTATTTTGAGCTCAATTTCAAGCTGCAACTCTGTCCTGAAACTAATCAAAATCATCTCTATTTCTGTAATACAGTGGACCCCCGGTTAACGATTTTAATCCGTGCAAGAGGGCTCATCGTTATGCGAAATAATCGTTATGCGAATGAATTTTCCCCATAAGAAATAATGGAAATCAAATTAATCCGTGCAAGACGCCCAAAAGTATGAAAAAAAATTTTTTTTACCACATGAAATGTTAATTTTAATACACACAAACTGAAAAAGGCATGCACAATTAAATGACACTTACTTTTATTGAAGATCTGGTGATGATTGATGGGAGGGGAGGGGGAGAGCATTATCTTCTTACTGTTTAGAAGGGGAATCCCCTTCCATTACGACTTGAGGTAGCAAGTCCTTTCCGGGGTTACTTCCCTCTTCTTTTAATGCCACTAGGACCAAGCTTGAGAGTCATGGACCTCTGCGCACAACAAAATCTGTCCATAGAGCCTGCTCTCCCGTCCGTTTACATTTGCCCTAAAAGGGGGCCACAACATTGTCATTGAAATAGTCAACAGCACGGTTGCAACAGCTGTGTCAGGGTGATTTTCATCATAAGGTTTGCAGTTCAATCCACTGTGCACACATTTCCTTAATCTTTGAAATTTAGGCAACAATGGATTTTCCACAATGCATAGGTTCTCAGGTTAGCCCCAAATCCTTCAAAATCTTTCTTAATTTCCATACTAATTCTCACCCTTTTGACCCAGGGTTGGCACTAGAAGCTTTCTTGGGCCCATTGTCACTTATTTTCCAGAAAACAGACCGAAAATACTGTAATAATACGAAATATTCCGAGTGTATGCTTGGATGTTACCGCGGAGGCTGGCTGGTAAACAATGGGACGGAGCGGCACATGTGAGCTGGCTGAGGGCACATTGGACGCGTCTCGGACGAAAATCGTTATGCGGTTTTTAATCGGTATGCGGGGCAAAAATTTTGCGATAAAAGTAATCGTTATGCGGAAAAATCGCTATGCGATGCCATCGTTATGCGGGGGTCCACTGTACAGTGGAACCTCTACTTGTGAGTGTGTCCACGTGCGAGTTTTTCCAAATACGAGCAGTTGATGGGTCGATTTTTTGCTTCCATACACGAGCAAAATTTCCACGACCGAGCAGACCTCAAGGCAGGTTCCTTGACACTGGTGAGGGGCTCTTGCTCTTGATCTCGAGAATTGTATCTCATTTGTTTGTTGGACTATCTTATTGAAACTTGGGCAATGTATGATGGAAAGATGCTTCTTAATGTACACCAAAAATGAAAGAAATCTAAGCATAAATAATGGAGTTCACTTTTCAGCAATTAGCCACCCCTTAGCTGTAATTTTGAATGGTTTTTATGGTTTATTCTCGTTTTTTTGGTCTCATTTGATAGAATGGAAGATATATTACAGAAATAGATATGATTTTGATTGCTTTCACAACGAAAAGTGCCTTGAAATTGAGCTCAACCTAGGACAAATGGTCAACTGCTTGGCTGTTTCAGAGTAAACAAATGACGTCACTGTCCATTCCAGTATGCAGTCGTGAATGGGTTGACATTATTTATACAATTATTGCAATAAGGAATAACAGTAAATCTTATATTTTTTTGTGAATAAAAATTACAAATTATTTATATAATAATAATATGTATAATAATAATACATATATAATAATAATGTACTACATATAACAATTATAATAGACGGCTTCAAAAGGCCGTCACTAGATGGCAGTGTTTACCACAACAAAAAGGAAGCGGTTGTAGCCGCCTCCACCTGTTACATAATGACATATTTTATTCATTCTAGAGTATCATGTTTCTATGTTATTTTTATTGTTTGTTATGTCTTATTAGATGAACTGTAATATACATGTATAAATAAGCCGTATAGATGATACAGTATTAGCAAAATTATTCATGAAGTATTTTCATCGGTCTCCAGACAAACTTGTCCACTGCCGACACCGCCCATACCACTACATGAATGACATATTTTATTCATTCTAGAGTATATATCATGTTTCTGCATTATTTATGTTGTTTGTTATATCATATTATATGAACTGTGATAGATAAATAAGCTGTATAGATGATATTAGCTAAATTATTCATGAAGTAGTATTTTGCCCGGTCTCCAGACAAACTCTCGTCCACCACTGACACCGCCCATACCACTACATGAATAACATATTTTATTCATTTTAGAGTATATATCAGGTTTGTATGTTATTTATATTGTTTATTATGTCATATTAGATGAAGTGAGATAGATAAATAAGCCGTACAGTTGATGTTAGCGAAATTATTGAAGTACAGAATTCCACTGGAATGGATTAATTGCATTTCAATTAATTTAAATGAGAAAAATTGACTCTGCAAACGAGCAAATCCAGTTGTGAGCAAGGTCATGGAATGGATTAAACTCGCAAGTAGAGGTTCCACTGTATATCTTCCATTCTGTCAGACGAGACCAAAAAAACGAGAATGCATCCATAAAAACCATACAAAAATACACCGCAAGGTTGCTGTTTTAAACCAAAAACACGGT